TAAGGCAAGCCTATAAACTGCGGACATATTGTTCGGATCTGACTGCTATAAGGTATAGCTGCCATATAAACTAACCGAACAACATCAAACTCTCATATGAAAAACTTTTTTATTTGTCAAAATATTTTCACGTAATTTGGCACAGATTATTGTTGAAGGCAATGCTACAATTTCCAAACATATTGTTCAGATCGAAGTAACCCAGTATATAGCGGCCATACAAACTGACCTTCAAAAGCGAGATAAAGATCCTTTTATACCTTTTTCTGCTATAAAAAATACATCCGATAAGGCAATTTAGCTTCGGTTCAGCCGAGGTTGACTTTTTTCTTTTTTTCTAAATAAATCGTTTCACCAAAAAATTTATTATAATACTCCAAAGTTTTATATGAAAATTGAGCTCACCAACCAATAAAAGAGAATTTGTTTATAGTAGTAGTAGAGATTTCGGTATTCGTTATATAAACAACACTGCTTTTTATATACCTTTAGTATCTGTAAATTTCTGGTTTCGCACACACACATATACATACATCATATAATACATTTTTATTACCCATAAAGGAAGCACTTGCTGATTTATGTGAATGTGTTATTAATGAGGCCGCAATATTTGCAATGCAGACAATTGCTGGAAATCAGAGAGCAGCGTAAATATGAATAATTGTATCAATATATAGCACAAAATAACCAAATGAGCATGAGTATATGTATTTACATGGCATTTAAATTATTGACAATACATATTTTATGTGTGAGAGATAACAGTTTAAGACAACATAACACAAATAAATACTTATGTATGTATATTATAGATATATATGGTTGGTAAAATATTTTTAGGACTTACAATTAACACTATTACGTTGCATTTTTGTTGTCTTTTTGCAATCAAAATTCAATTTTAACAAAGCTATACGCCTAGACACTTTTGTTTATGCAGTTTGCACCAATTAAATTGCATTTTTATCGGTGCGAAATAGTAGTACATATATGCAAGTAAGTAAATAAGAGTGTAAGTATTATATAAGTATATATATTTGTATATTCGTATGTGTGTTTGTAAAATTCAATAAATTTTGGTATATCAAAAGAAATATATCAAACTATGCACACACTATAAGTTTGTACTATATGCTTGTATAATATAGCTGCATAAGGTTACTCATACGCCCCATGACACCATTAATACTACTACGCAACTACTTTAATCTCTATACAATTTATTATTTGCTGTTAAGAAATAAATAAAAACATTTGTAATTAAAACATTTCGCAAGCTATTCCGAAGCAGGTTTCAGTCGCAGAAAGTATTTATACTTTTTAATTTCACATTTTACGGGAAAATGGCTGCTCTAGTAACTCAAAATTGTTGAAATAATTTGGAACGTGTTTTCTGTTTTGTGCGATTATTGAATGATTTTAAATTAATAGAATTTGGTTTCTAACACAATGAGTGAAATATTTATGCATAACGAAAGTTTTACTTTTACAGGGAGCTTTGAACGATAAATTTTTTCTAAAAAAATCACACAATTGTCTTATTTTAGAATAATGTAAGTTTTACTTTTACAAGTTGGATCCAAAATAATATTAATAATAAAAATAAAAAAACTCACAATTATTTTCAAATAAAAAAATATGTTTAAAAATCTCAAAAAAAATTTATTCTCCAAAAAAAAAAATTTTATATTATTCTTTTCGGATTTCGGATTACCACGATTTCATTCTTATGATTACCTCACCTATTTTTACAACAATTTCTATTTTCCAAAACCTTAGTGCTGATATCTCACGAATATATATCTTATACGCCTGCAGAGCCAGAATTTTTTAATTCTTTCTTTCATACCATCGATTCTTCAGAGCACCACAATACAAAAAATAAGTTAAAAGCATCAAATATTAGCTCTTACTAAGTTTTTTATAGCTGACCCGAATCAGGTAGGCTAAACGAGACGTGTTTAAAAAATAACGGAAATTTTCGCTTTTTGAAAAATCATTTTTTATTTGTCAACATCAATAAGGTCGCCTTTAAAATAATTCCTATTCGATATTATGCACTTATGCTAGCGCTTCTTTCAATCGTCGAAAAACTTTTCAAACTCGATTTTTGTAATAACTTTTAGCTCTTTCGACAATGCTATTTTAATGTCATCTATGCTTATAAAATTACGGGTCTTTAATATTATCTTTATTTTTGGAAATAGAAAGGGGTCACGCAGAGCCATGTTTGGCGAATGTGAAGGCTGGGGCATCGTTACACTATTGTTTTTGGCCAAGAATTCACGAACAAATCCCTTGGTCCATTTCATTAACAAACGAAAATCCCCAAGCTCATAAACAATGAATACAGCTGAAAATTGTATCATACTACAGAGCCATGTATGTCAACACAAATTGAATATATTGAAGCAGCTTCAGTTTTCTTTCTCTTTCAAGCTTAACATGTGGCTTTATATAAAACTAGCATTGCTCAAACTACAAGTATGTGAACACAGAATTCGATGTTAACAATATTCTGCGATGGCAACCGAATTAATATCTAATTGATAATTGAGAATGTGGTGAAACATAAAGTTGATGAGCTTACTAGAGCATACACTCTTGGAATGTTTTATAAAAATATCCGATTGGGATAAATGGACGACGAATGAAGTTAGCTTCCTCTGAATCAGGGCTAACAACGGGGAATTTTTAAAATTTTTCTTAAATAATACTTTTTGCCTTTCCATAATCCAATATACTTATATAATTGTTTTTCCTTACCTCATAAAGCACAGAATGTAAAGCACTTAAATCCACATGGCCTTACTGACTAACCTAACTTGCAGAAAGAAGTAATGATTATTATGGACACCATTAAATGACTTATGCGCTTCTGAAATGAATAAAACATAAATTTCATATGTTGCCTTATGGATTTTAATAAACTTCCGTAGCCGACAGCTTATGCTCTCTAAACTGCTGCACTCATACATAAGAGTACAATGACTCGGGAGGAATACAAAAATTATATATGTACACTACTAAAAGTATGCATTAAACCCACATACTGTATACATACTGTACTGTAAGCATTATATTTTTGTCTATCCAACCACAAACGCAAGGCTAAATACCTGTTGGCTCTTATGGCAAGCCGCAGAAGTGAGCCAAAAAAAAAAAAAATCGCACACAAAAGGCGCATTTAAGGCTTTGGCCAAGATGCAACCTTTCTTGTGACCGAGTCGTAAACAATAGAAAACATGGCAAAACAAACCGCAGCGCTGCCGCACTCCCCTCTGCTCTGTCCAGCACATGCTTATTGGGGAAAATAAATGCACGGCTGCCAAATGAAGGGTAGCAAGTCGATGAGGATGGCGGCAAATGGGTACTTCATGGCGCTTTGCCTTAATGCCTAGTGGCTTTTGCTTTTTTCTTTGTTTCATTTTTATGTTATTATTTTTTTGTTCTTTTTTTTTTGCTGGCGCTTGCAATTTATTCGAACACTTGTGTATTTATTTTATGTTTTTATTCTCAACTATTTTATTGTGTGACATTGGAATTCATCTGTGAATGCAGCATTTTAACGTTTTACCGCAATATGTGGCGTCAATGGTTCAGGCACATGCGAAAGGGTTGAGTGGAAATCGGTTGCCGTAAATAATATAACCTGCAGTTATTTACACAGATTGCTGCAAAAGCAGATAAACGTATTTGAGGGTTTTAGGTCGGTAGGTTTGCCGCCTCAAATAATTTTTTTTTATAAATATAAAAAAGGTTGGATCAAAAAATAAGTTCCAACTTAGATGTCTAGAAACATGAAAAGTGTGTTGTGCCTTAAAAGATCTTTCGTATACCTTTCTCTCATATCCCAGAACCACAAGATACAATATGATTTCTTTATGAAACCATGATATAATACTCCTATAGTTATTAATATAGAAACCATAAAATAGTATTGTTGATGCTATAACAAAAAATTACTAACGGAATGTCGACAGTTCTTTACGAAAGAGTTGAAATCAACACCCAGCAATCATGCGTTTTTTAAGAAAACCCAGGAATTTTTACGCGAGCTCATTGTAGACCAGCGCTTGCTTAGTTCATAACTTGTTCTTTTGTCGGCGTGTTAAAGTGGATTCGGCGGAATTCAGAGCATGCGCGGATGATGATGAGACGCTGGAACATTAACTTTGAGAACGCCTGAAGCCGTTTGAAACGGGATATCTCCCACGACTCTTAAAGCTTCAAATAAAGATGCTTTATTTTACCAAATCCACTGACTAGCTGGATAAGACATAATTGGTTACCACTAGGGAGTACAATGGGTCTAATGATGACCTAAGTAAGGCTGAGTTTAGCACATTGAACTACTTGCAAGCAATAAGGTTCATCTTGCCGCTGTCGTAGGAGTTCTTACTGGGCATTGTCAAATAGGCATCATGCAGTTAGGCTAAGAAGAAGATAAGGCAGAAACATCCAAGCTCTCTTCTCTTCCACTGTCCAGCTTTTCCAAGACTGAGGTTGAAACATTTCGACAGTCATACTTTCGGCGCATAAGAAAAGATAGCCGAAACTGATATTAGCCGCCTCAAAAACATTGTGGTAGACTCAAAGGGCTTTGTCGAATCATGATAGTATTTATGATTAATGTATAGTAGATTTAGGTATCATAACCGACCGGCATTCTAAGCTGCCTACGTGGAATCCCTGTTCTAACTAACCCCTTGTTAACCTAACCTAACGTTTCTCCTCAGTTTGTGCCACGTGACAGTATTCAATATACTTCGGTGGTCTTCGTAGTCGAGTTAAGCTTTGGATCACACTTTTCAAACTAACCGAGTAACTGAGATCTCAATGAGACTTCAGTTCAAGAAAAATAAGTACAATTATGTATGAAATACATGATCAGTTTAAGCTTTGTAAAATCAATTAATTTTTGTTGTAAATCCACATATTTTAAAATAAATATTTATTAACAAGAACATTGCATACGAGCTGCCATAGCTACTCACCTTTGGTATTAGTCTGTATGGATGACATCGGTATGGCCACACAATTAGGCGGTCCCTTCGCTGCCGACGTACGCCTCTGCACCTGCAATGCCGCCTTCTCATCCGGTGGCTCCGTGCGCGGACACAGCGTATAGGCGACCTTACTGCCACGACCCGGTGTTGGACTGATACGCGAGTGGCGTGCACCGACGGCCGTCGCCGCTGCTGCTGCTATGCGTTCACCCATCACGGAGCGCACACACACACAAGCTGAAAGCCTAGCGCACGTCTATTTTGGTCTACTTACCGCGGCGAGTGGAATTATTTGTGTCCCGTATGCAATTGCGTGGATGCTGCGTGCTGCCCTAGCCATCGCAACACATGCGCGCACGTCAATTTATTTATGCAATTTACACTTTTCTACACAGCACACGCACACATGTATTTTGTAGCACATTTTTAGGCGCATTCACCCATTACACTGCAGTTGCATAGTTAGACAGCGTTCTTTAATTACTAAGCATCTCATTAACAAGTGTCCTCTTTTGCATTATGCGTACAATCGTCCAGCTGGCATAATTACAAAAATGAAATGTGTAGAGGGGGGGTGAATGAAGGGTACGTTAAATGCAAATGGCAATGCCAGCGAGTTATTATTTAATGATTGTGTTAAATGCCAGCCAAGTCGCAGTGGCTGATTGTCTGTTGGCTGCTTGCCCAACGAGTCGCTAAAGTGATATCCGTTTTTATCGCGGTTGGCTTACAGTCTCTCTGCGCCTCCTTGGTTAGCAAAAAGAGGGCAGAAGTTCAGAAAGAAATTGTTTTAAATGACTGCATAATTGGCTTAGTAAATTTTTTTTTGCTACTTTAGCATTTGGAGGCTATGAATGCTATTATGAGCTGGTATAAGAAGAGAAATAGTAGAGAATATTTTTTTTCATTCCACATACTTGAGTTACTCTAACTTAGTCTTTTTGACGAAGCTGCGAACCGTAGTTGGGATGTAACGCGAATTAATTTACAAACTCAATATATATGAAACCCAAAGTTACACCAAACTAACAGTAGCAACTAATTCAAATATAAATTTCTTGTAATGAAGGCCTCAGTAGCTGTAACTCAGCGGATTGTGCACGATATTGTCTCCCTTAAGACTTTTGAGTAAAGCTTCTTAATGCAAGATATATAGAAAAATATAGCTCCATCTTTTATAATCTAGGTGTATGTGGTTTCGGCTTAGTATAATTCTGAGCTTCACTGTGAACCTGAAGAAAGAGAAAGTACACTATATTTTACACTATATTTTTTAGTATTATTGGCAGGAAATCATCTAGCATGAACTAACGACCAAACTCCAAATTTGCGCTTGTTCTGTCAACAATTGTTCCTTCTGCTGAAAGCAGTCAACCAAAAGTGGCCAGTTTTGCCAATTGGATTGGAGAGGAATTGTATTCCAACAGAACAGCGCCAGCCCACACTCATCAGTAGTGACTCGCCGAAAGCGCCGAGTGCTTGCTTAGAAGATTCTTATTCTTCCATCTTATAGTGCAGCCTGGCAGCAAGTGATTAGTATCTCTTTCTGTCTATGGTAAACGGTTTTGCTGGTGCTGACTTCGCATCAAGAGAAGCTTGTGAAAATCGACTAAACTATTTTTAATACCAATAAGCATGAGGGTTTCTATGAGAGTGACATTCTACCATGAATCCGAAAGCTAACGTTGCTTAGCATCTGTCAACCCTGCTAAAAACTAAGTAATTGTGTCTGAAGCGAGATTAGTTGTGGAAAATGTGTATAGCTCCAGATTTTTTATTGCTTTGTTAGTAAAATTAGCTCATTAATAGTTAAAAATACTATGTAGTCTTTTCAAGTTAATTGAACAACACAATTCTTATTTTACATGAGGCCCAATAAGATAGTTCTTGATAAGGTATCCAGAAGCTACATGCATTACATGAATGATCTACCAGAGCCAACACCGGCGAAATTTTAGTAAATACTCAGCCAAGCCGTGGCTATTTATCCATTCACATTTTAAAACGCTAAAGCCTTATAAAAGTTTTGCCAAAAGCTCATAAGCTTTCCTCCAGCGAAACGGAGTTTTTGTGAAACTTCACTAGTTTTGATTGCAATGCGCTGATCACTTTTTTCAGCCAATTTTGTTTATCCACACGCCTGACGACTACTTTAAGTCTGCATTAAATCGCGTGCAACTTTTTTCTGCACAAACGTGTCACATTTCCACTTCCCGAGGATTTTTGTACTTTTATTACAAATGTTTCAATTGTGACACGCACACACTCACACACATAAAAATACGTATGAACGCGTTGTGTCTGTGTGAAAACAGATGCGCTGGAAGCGTCAGCGTCAGCGCCGCAAGGACACACGTGCAAATTTGAAACACGTTTCACACGACCAACGCATATGGCATACATTTGTTGGCAATGCCAAGGCACGACAGCGTACGAACACGCATTCATACGGTAAATTACACACGAACACAATGTAATGGAATCGGCGCGTCTGATTGTTTTATTAAAACACCATGAAAGGACTCGCCTTTAGTCGCATAGTAGATTTGCATCCTTCTGGCCGTGAAGCTTAAAATACACTAACACCATTAACTACCGACACTTCACTTGGCCTTCCACAATGCAGCCATCTCGCAAAGCAAACAAAAAAAAAATACGAAAAAATGTCGAAAGAAAGCGAGAGTTGTGAAAAAAAATTTAAAAAAAGACATACACAAATACTATAAATATTATATGAACCTTTATACACAGCGCTGCAGTTGTTGCCACTAGTATTCTACGGTAGTACGTACAAACAAACAAACATACGCGTACAACGCGCCGTCACAACACGTAGAGCCACTTAACTGCACACACGAAGCACTCAAAGCACACAGCTGCCCTCGGTGTCCTGTCACCAACTGCCGACAGCAGCCTCGCGAAATTTGCATTGAGTCCTGGTCGCTAAAGCGGCAGTAACGGCACTCGGCGTTTGACGACACGAACGCCAAAGCGGTAACGAATAACGTGTCGCACACGTGCAAAGCCAAAGGAGCGAAAAAAGTACGCTTTAAAGTCAACATAGCAGAAGAAGAAGAACAATGTAGCTAGGTCGTACCGCCAATACCCACCGAAGCACGAGGTTAGCGGTCAGCGAGACAGCCGCCTGCAATTGCCTGATGCACTAAAAGCTCACTATGCTGCATGCCACAGAGCTTTCGTTGACTGCAATCACAGTTATGAACAGTTACATGCGAGTAGAGTACTATACACATAAATAAAAAATAAAAAAACACGAAGCACACGCAACAGCGTTCGGCTGTGGCTAGCACGTTGCACAGCCGAGCGGCAAGTTCATTGAGGAATTGCAGTTTATTGTGATTGCAAGCATGTGACATGTGCTTATTCTTGTATTTGTTGTAGTTGTTCTCAGCAGGATACCGGCAAACTTAACGGTGCTTTCGTTATAGGCACTTTACTTTGAATTGTCACTTAACAACACTGGTTGACGAAGAGCTTTTAATAACTTTTGTAGCTTCTACAGTTAAGCTTTTAGATTTGAAACTGTCAAACCAGTAAACATTTATAAACTAAATGGACATTGCCGAATGCCCCTACCATCCAAACCAGTTCGAAAATCATAGTCAAAAGAAAATCGCCTCGTCAGAAAAATGTCTATAAATACCAGAGACGAATATTAGCTAGACCTAATGTTTTTTTTTACAAACAATATTTCCATATTTAAAGAAATAATTGCCAAGAAAATCCCAGCAGTATTAAGTTCTTTAATATTGAGTGGATATTTCAGCGGTTTACGGGTACTAGATCTTATATAGGTATATGGCCTACCGTAGGAAAATCTTTTGCGCCGACATCAGAGTATCTTAAAATAATGTGGTCGAGTCTGCAGTAATGCTCCAGTCGATCTTCGGTCGCACACTATTGCAGAGCTTCTATTACTACTACTAAACAGTGTTCACATCTTGAAGTGAGGCGATTATCGTACCAGTAGCGTAGAATTATCGTATATGAAACGAAATTATCGTACTTTTAAAAAGAATGACTATAATTATTTTAATTATTGCTAATTTTTGCAATTTTTCTTGGAGGTGTAATGTCCAAATCAACATCAGTTGGTTTAGTATTATTTATTTCTTCGGAATCTTCACGTAAAGAACTCATTTTTCACTTTACAGCTACAGAATGAAAATGATAGTTTATAGCCAATGAATTAAAGTTTTCGATTGACATATGTACTTACTCATTAATATAAAAACACAATCATTTAATATAGAAGCATAATCGCGATGAGCTTCCAGTTACAGTTTTTTTCGAATTACTATTTTAAATCTTGAACGCGAGAACGTTAGCTCAATACAATAACAAGAATAACAGCCAACATTCGAACACTAAATATGCAAAGTCTGTGAAGTCTGAACATAATCGAAATCAAACTACAATATCGATATTATTTGTTCGTTGAACGAACCAGAAGATGGCGTTGTGAGCAAAAAGACGGAAGAAATATTTGCTAGCAGTAAGAGCCAAGAGCTCGCGCCTTCTCCTCTTTTTTCCTATAAAAAAAAATCGCCCAATTGTCTGCGAGGGTAGAAATAAGATACATTTTTAATGCGTCATAATGAAAATTATCGTACAATCTGCGTACGATAATGATATCATATCGTACATCGTACGTAGGCATGAAATTATTGCATATGTACGATAATTATCGTACGGTTGCGATCACTGCTACTAAATGGACATTGCAGAGCGCCCCTGTCATCCAAGCCTAATCGAAAATTCAGACAAAAAAAATCGTCAGCTTGAACGTGTTTGTTTAAAAAATAAATTTCTATTTTTATAAAAATAAAATAATGGAAAATCTCACCAGAACCAAGTTTTCTGATATTTAGTCGACATTTCTACAGTCTATGAGCACCAGATCTTAGTACTTAAATGTCTTCTTCTCTCCCATGAAGTAATACTTTGTCCAGTGGTTCCGTGGGGGAGATTTGAGTTGGGAGTAGGTTAAGTTTAGCAGTTTAAAGTTCCGTACTTCGGCTTTCGATGCTTTTCCTTAATACAAAAAAAAATAAAAAAGATATTAGTACCGTAAACCATAGGCGGACAACAGACTACGTTAAAAGAATATGGTCGACTACATAGTAATGCACCAGTTGATCCTCTGTCGCGTACTGGGAACAAACTTCGCTTGGTTGGAACGCCAAAAAATTTCAAAATTTCTTCACATCGCGGAATCTGTATCCCAAAAAACACATGAACGTTGATTGTGGAGCCATTCTCTACCTTTTATAAGTTATCTTCGAACGAATGGGATGAAAAGCGTTTCAAGCTAGTCGATATATCTGCTATTAACATACCTATGGTACCAGATATATTTCTTAGCAAGTATGAATCTACCTTAATCGTGCTTAAACACCGATCAGTTATATTAGCTATAGTTAACTAACTGCTTAGTTAGTGTTAACTAACTACTAACTAACTAATAGTCTAAAGCAATAATTTTATCAGTTTTATGACGTTAAGCAATGCTATAATGAGAGAAATTAAGACAATGTATTGTACCTAAAGCGTCATCTTATCCTGATTTTCTTCTGTTTTCTTTCGCCTGACCTATTTTCATCAATATTGTATACAATCGGAAATACCTCGATGATACCGCGGTCTTTATGCTAGTGCCAGCTACTCTATAAGCATATTTTATATTAGTCATTCGATAATGAGTCGTCCTAACTGAGATCATGTAGTATGTTATCGAATAGAAAAGCTAGGTTTTTCACAACACTGATCTGTCTAAAGGGCTTACTCAACATTATTTCTTTTAGCATAGTTAAGTTTTCATTATCAGTTCGATAGTTCGATACTAACATACTCGCTCCAAAGCAAACTCACACATCCAACTCACATAATTATTTATCTATTATTGCTTATTGAAATCAATTTGCTACAATTCGTTGTTGGAGTTGTTATTTCGCCACCACTCGTGGGTCTTCCCAACGACGCTTTCATCACATCATTTAAATTGTTGATTACACACACATTAATCATCGATTATTGTAGCGAAAGCAATTAAATACAATTTTTTTTTCGACTGAACGCTTCATAAATTGCATTTCGATGCCAACAAAGCTATCTATGTATCTATATAGATATATGTAGGTACATACATACTTACAAGTGAACTAGATTCTAGTGGCGCATTTGTCCAACGCCGCCCACGTGCCTCCGTCACCCGCCCACCAGATAATTTGCATTCTAGTTTCGCCGATTTCGTTTTGTATTTGACTTAAATACATACAGACATACTCAAATAGGTGGCAGCAGATGTAATATACACACTTATATAATAATTTGTGTAAATACTTACATACATACATATATATTATAGTATTATATATTTAAGTGCGCCTCACACCGAATAAAGCAAAGAAAAACAAATTACCTTTACATTGCTTTATTTTGTTTATTTTGGATTTGATTTTTGTACGCTGATTCTCTGACACGCGAATCGCATTGCACTGAAGGTCTCAACGTCATTAGTTTATTTTTAAATTCGATAGACCAATAAGTACACTTAGGCTCCGTTGGTGGATAAACCTAAGTGACTATGAAAATCGTGTAATGAAGGCGCAAATACAAAGAAATATCGCAATTTCTTACAACTTGCAAGTAAAGCAAAGTAAATATTCGAAAATATGGAGTTTTAGAAAAAGATAGCATACATTTTGGCGTAGAAAAAAGAAATGTGTGGTATATTCCTACATTTTTTTTAAACTTTACGAATGCATGCAAAGTAAATTTTCAAAAATTTAGTTGACGGATATTTGAAATTGTTAATTTTACGGTTGTAATTTGGCCACTATACATGAAATATGCTAGTTTTATGAGCTTAATATCGTAATTTAAACTATAAACGTAGTAATAACTGCCTATGAATAAATTTCGAAAATTCGAAGTTCAATTTCGAACATGAAATGTGACTTCTTCAATTGCTAACCTAATGTTTTTGAAAAATGTGGCATACACTTCGGCGCAGCGACATAAAAATTGCTTTCGAAAATTCGAAGTTCAGTTTCGAACATGTAATGTGACTTATTCGATTGCTAACACAATTATTTTGAAAAATTTGGCACACAGTTTGGGGCGAAAATATATGCTATTATATATTGTGTTTTAGTTGTGTCTTTGGCTTGTTTAATAAAGTAGACTGGAATTTATTTGGAGTTCAAAAACTTATTAGATATTCCACTGTTTTATTTTTTTTACTGATTTGAAGGCCACAATTCATACAATATCGTCGTTTTGTGCGCTTGGAATTGAGATTTAAGCTATACACATAATAATAAGAACATACAAATTAAATTCGAACATTAATTTCGAAAATCTGATTTAACAATATCGAAGCTAATTACACAACTTTAAACATCAACAACGGACATCAAAAGGCTTGAAAAATAATATCAAAAGTTTCGAACATCAAATAGAAATAACGCACATCTTTTCTAACACTATAAAAATTTATTGTTAAAAATAAAAAACTTACCCAGATTTGAAAGACAGTACAAAGAATATAACTACCATTCAAAAAGCTTTATTAATATTAATATTTATTTCTTATTATTATGCGATTCTAATAAAGTTTAATGTGTAAATACAAAATTTTATTTACTCCAAATTAAAATAAGTTCCCTATAGTTTCTAAAAATCCATTTCTAAAGCTGTAACTTGAAAATATATTCGCATAATTCTACAAAAACATAAATAAGAAAACAAATATATGAATGTAATTTTTTTTCGAAAATACAAACACAATATAAAAATATTAAAAAAAAAACCTACATCTGAAAATGTATTTTTTTCTTAGCCTATTTTGAAATCATTACAATTAAATTTCAAAAATATTTGAATACTAGGTTATATAATAAGAAATTGTAGATAAATTTAAAATTTATTTAAAATTTTAATATCTAATAAATCTGTAAATAAAAAATTATAACTGTTCTAAGAGAAAAAAAATCATTTAACAAATATATACTAACATTACAAAATTAATTAATTTATTTTTTATAAGAAATTCAATTTACAAATTTCGAAATTTTATTTGAAGAACTTAAACAAACATTTAAAAGTTTCAAAATTTTTTGTCAAAAACTAAAATTTTCATTTGTCGAATTCAGGATTTCCCTACAAAAAAGCAAATTTCATTTAAGTTTTTGTTTCGAAAAGCTGAATAAACATTTAAAAATTTCGAAATAGTATTACAAAGCCACAAATTTTCCTTTGAGAAAATCGAAATTTTATAGCAAATAAGCAATTTATTTTAATTTAAATATTTCAAAATTCGAAACTCGAATTTTGACTTCAATAATAAAATTTTTCATTTCGTAATTTATTTTCGAAAACTCGAATTTTAATCTAAAAAAATTTAGCATTTCTAAAAAATTTGGACAAATAATGTGGAATTTCGAAAATTAGATCTAAAAATCCGTAGCACTGTAATTCCATTAAATTTTTCAACTCAAACTTCAAAAGTACCGTATTTTAAACAAAAATTTCTTAAAATTTACAACTTTTGTTAAGACCATAGCACCTTTATCCAAACCCCAATTAATAACAAATAGTTGTTGTTTTTCAGTTTTTAAATAACTGTTGGTGTATTTTAAAGAAAGTTTTTTTTTTTGCAAATTTACAATATTTTTAATTATATATAAACTGTAATATGTGTTTTTGTGAGTGTAACTTGAAATTTTTGTCTCGAAATATTTTCTTTTCTTCGTGATTTTACTTTAGGCGCCAACACAAATCGCTTGAGTCGGTTGAAGAAATCCAGCTAAACGGAAGCCAGTATTGAGGAATTGAAGTATGTAAGTACATTTTTGGTTTTACATTATTTGCTTCTTCGTTTTGCTCTGTCGCATAGAAACAGGCATAGTTACAAAAACAAAATCATTGTACATATACAATATTTGTATGTATTATAAACAAAAATATAATAAGAAGCAGCAGCAAGCCGAATGAAGCTCAAGTGTGCAATAAAATATACAGCAACAGTGCGTTGTTACGAAACAAAACTAGTGGGTTTATAATATTATTTATAAATTTATGTATGTTGAAACTGCAGCGTGTGTTTTAAAAGTTTTTTATGATTTTTAAATATTTTTTTAGGTATTTTTTGCGAAATAATTTTTTTTAATTAAAATTTTTTTTTTTAGAAATTATATTTAATTGCAATTACAGTCTACATAAAACAAAATTTTCGAAATACTTCAATTTAATATTAATTTCGAAATTCGAAAACTGCTTACATGTGTTCAGTTGTCATTATTGATGAGATTCTTTAAGCTTTTAGACAAATTAAATTCACAAAAACATTTTCGAAGTACTTTAATACTAGTTTCGAAGCTCGAAAACTGCTTGTATGTGCTTTTTAAAGCTTTCAGGTATATTAAATTTAATTTTCACATAAAAAACTTGCGTAAAACCCACAATATGGAAATTATTTTGCTGCTTGCAACTTCAGTACGCACTCAAGTGTTAGTGCCTCAGCTGTATTTTTCAATGTAGCTGCAACAATGACTTTTTTTTTTACAAACACTTGGCTTAATTTAGGCACCATTGCGACAGTAATAAGCCATTTTAGTTTCGTATTTCGAAAAACCATTGTGATTTACTAAGCTGCCAGCAACGCTCAAGCCATATGTGAGTTCGCTAGCAGCAGCAGCATGTTTTTGTTGTACACTATAACTTAGTATGCACTCTAAGCGCTCTAAACGGCTTAAGCTGTCTACTAATCATTTAAGATCGCTCAAAAACACACGCTGGTTGTCGCTGCCTTACAAAGAGTTGCGCTTAAAGTTGTTGTTGTTGTTGTTTAATTAAAGCTATAGTTATGCATCAGCATTCTAGACTACATTCGAGCGCTTACTGTTACGCGTGTAAGTGCCTTGGTTGTCTTGCTTAGCAAATTAAATTCCAATTTTTCGCTGTTGAGAAAAAAACTCAGCATTACCAAGTTGCTTAATAAATTTAATTGAACTATAAATATATAATATCTATTGTATATATATACATGTGTTAATTATGTATATATACTTTTTAAGTTAGCTTTACACCACATACCACACTTTACTTCAAATGCGTAATTAATTATTTATGTATGTATGTAGCAATTAAGTACAAATAGTCTTGACTTTCATGGTTTAAAATAATTTATCATTTATCTAAAGAAACTAAGCATTTTCTTTATAAATATTATTAATGTAGATAAATAATAAAGATAATGATAATAATAATAATAAAATGCTTAAAGACAATATACGCAAAGACAGACAGCTGTTGCTTGAGACTTTGTTTTTGTTGCTGATTTTTTTGTAATTTATATATGTATATATTTATAATTTTTTACTTATATATATTTTTTTTTGTTTTTAATTTTTTGTAATTTTTTATTTATAATTTTTCATAATTTTTTTATTAATGATTTTTTGTAATTTTTTTGTTTTTTTTAATTTTTTGTAATTTCTTCATTTTCATTTATTTATAATTTTTTCATTTTTAATTTTTTGTAATTTTTTATAATTTTTTTCCATATTTTTGTTTTTGTTTCTGTCGACAGACTAAGACTGTAGTACTGAGACTGGCTGTCTAAAGCACACATTTGATTAAACTTTCTTGCATTTTATTTTCTTTCCTTTTTGTTTGTTGTTATTTTTTTTTGCTTTGCTGCTTTTATCATACATGCATTGATGTACATATGTATGTATGTTTGTATGTATATATTACTTATTATATAGTGTAATTTTTTGTTGTTGCTTTTTTTTATATATTATATTATGTAGGTACAATGGGAAATGTACATATTTTTGTTGTTGTTGCTGTTTTTTTCGTCGTCCGAGTTCGAGTCAGCGCCACACGCACACAAAACACGCCGTCGCGCCATTGTGTAGAGCGCAGCGCAGACGCAAGCGTTTGTTGATTGTGAATGCTTAGCGGAAATTCATTTTTTTACTTTTGCAGTTGTTCCAATCTTAAAAAAATCAACACCTTCGCTTTGGAAGCTTGCCGGATTCGCTATAAATGAATAAAAAAAATTGTATAATTTTAAATTTCAATTTCAATTTGAAAATAATACTTAAGTGCGTGGTCTACTTTTAGGCGTTACAATCGACAATCGCTTGTACGCAACGCCGCATGCAGCTTTCGTTGACGCTGAAAAATTTTCGCCTGCAAAATAATTGAAACAAAACCAATTTTTGTATGCTACACGTATGCACAGCAGTTAGTACGCCCTAAGTTATGCAGCAAATTTCGTAATTTTCTACTGAATTTCCAAAAAAAATCACTCATTCACAGTCACAAAACACATACGCATGCGCATGCCTACCTAGTTGTTGTCTGCAATGCAGCTCGTTGTGCGCCAGCGTGTGCATGTGCGTGTTAGACTTACTAAAAACTGGTATTGGCTATATTTTAATAAGTTCATAAATTCATGTTTTTATATTATATAAAATTATATAGAAAATTGTTAAATTAAATTCTTAACAAAATTTGTATAAAAAAAATTTAAAAAAAAAGGCCAAGAAAAATATTAAAAAAAAAATAAAAAATAATTGTTAAAAAATACTTTTAAAATATTTAAAAAAAAATAGTGTTAAAAAATATTTTAAAAATATTAATAAAAAAAATTGTTAAAAAATACTTTTAAAATATTAAAAAAAAAATTGTAAAAATATTTTAAAAAAATTAATAAAAAAAAAATTGTTAAAAAAATATTTTTACAAAATTAACCAATTTTTAAACAAAAAAAAATTATAAAATAATTAACAAAAATCGTTTAAAAAAATAAAATCTCTTAAATATTAACTTTGCAGCTGCTCTGCTAAACACGCCACCTCAACACAGCGTCAACGCTCACGACCAATCAATTGCTTTTGGTTTCAGTTCTAGCTACTCAAATCCGTTTTCTGGCCCGCTTGCCACCCTCCCTTTCTCTATACATGCATACAGCTTGTATGCTTAAAACTCTGATTTTTGTTGTTTTTTTACATATTTTATTAATATTTTTTCGATTTTAAATTTTCTGCTAGCCGCCGCTCTTCTTTAACTTGCATAGAAATGCCTTTTATAGCTACAATCTATAATTTGTGTGTTTTGTGTTCATTTGCTTGCTTTTCAATTTTTTTACACGCTTTTTGCACTGCAAATATTTTTGCAACGAAGCGGCGCTTCGTTTTCTGCTTTGCCGCTTTTTTGTTTGCCATGTACTTTTTTTTTTTTTGTTTAATTTATTTGACTTTTTTTATATCTTTTGCTGTTGTTGTTTTCGCTTTATGCAGTTGGAAATTTGGTATGTTGTTGTTGTTTTGTTTTGTTTGTAATTGTTGGTATTTTTGCTCTCATTGTTTGCCTATATTTATCAACGCTCTGCGTTCACATATTTTAATGTCACCTAAGCTGTCCTGTCCTGTCCTCTCTCTACTACAAACACATCGCAAAACTGTACTGCATTGCCTATTTGTTTTTGGTTTCCGTTTTTGCTTTTGTTTCTTAATGCTTCTCTATGGCTTTCCGTTACTTTTCGGTTTCATTTAACTTTTTTAATACAATTCAATAAGACTGTTGCTTAAGTGTGTGTGTGTGGGTTTGTTATTGTTATATGCCTGTATGTTTGTTGTTGTAAATTGTTTTTATGTTTTGTTGTTGTTGTTTTGTCTGTCATTGTTGCGGTTGATTGATCGATTTTACAGTTATTACTAATCCATAGCGTATAATTTCACTTCTTTTTTTTTTGCTTTTTTATTTTTGTAATTTAAATATGTACGTATGTGTTGCTTAACTGTTACTTTGTGGCATTTGTTGCTTACATACTCTTCCCACTTTACTTATACCTTTCGTTTTTGCCATAAATGTCTGTATGTAGGCAAGTTAACTCGCTTTCCATTCGTTTTTTTTTTTCGCTTTACAATCTCTAAATATGTGTGTATGTCTGTGTGTGTGTGTGTGTTTTCACAGCTAGTTGTTATGCTTGCCATTATTTGACTAATTAAATATTTCGTAATATGTGTGCATATGTGTATGTATGTATATGTGTGTAGAGTAAACATCAGCAAAAAGTTGTTTATTTTTTCATTCAAATTTTATTTATTTCTTAATTCTTTTTTAATTTGAATTTCTTCTAAACACAATTTCATCAATTAGTACACGATTGCGGCATCGCTCTATGCGCATATTAAGAGGAGGACCCATTTGTTACAAATGGACCTTGCGCCTGATGCACACAATAAATATAGCTAATATATGTATGGTAAGTACTAAGTTGTTGTTTGTTGTTGTTGTTGCTGTTGGTGTTCAGTGTTCGTAATGCTTGTTAATATATAGGAAATGTTCTGTTGTTTGCTAGCTTTAGAGCATACGCTTATGTATATTTGCATGTGGTTGTTGTTGTTTAAGTGAATGTGTATGGATGTGTGTGTGTGTGTGTTGTGTCTGTATAGTATGTCTTTATCATCATTATTACATTGAGTTGTAAGTTTTATTTTTTATCTTTATTTTAAATATTAAAGTGTAATTTATTATAATGTATTCTGTTTTTTTTCTTCTTCTTCTTTTTGTTTTAATATTTTTTTTATATATTTAATTCTCCCTTTTGCTCAAGATTTATATATTTCTTTTTTTATATTTCTTTTTCATGGTTTCCATAGCAACAGCGTCGCGCGATGTTGTTGCGCCCAGCTACAGTCTTCGTCAACATCTTAAAAACATAGAAAGGCTTAAAAACAAGTAATTTATCTGCTCACTTCGATGTCATCATAGTCACGAATTCTGCAAGAAAGAAAGTAGCGTGAAAGAAAGGGAATTAGTTTTCTGATAATAAAAATGTAGCATGAAAGTAATATAGCTATGGCAAAACATAAAATAAAACATTTCATTTGTTGTAAGGCAAGAAATTCTATAAACGACAAAAGAAAAAATATTAACAATAATAATTAATATTATTTCCACTTTGCTTTGATACCGAAAAACAGAACTAAGGCGTTTTCAAATAGTCGACTTCAAATCTTGGAGAGTTACGAACCGAATAAACAATTGGTATAAACGCAGCCTAGTATTCTAAAATTATTAGACGGTTTAGGGTAAACGACTTCAAACCGCCATTAGTATAGAATTGAACAACTGGTATGAATAGCAAACTGGTATAAGTTTTAGACTATATACAAGTATAATATAATTATTAGACGGTTTAAAGTAGATGCCTTTAAGCCTTGGAGAGTAGCGAATCGAGCAAACAACTGGCATACATATCAAACTGGTATAATGAAATAGAAGTAATAAGCGGTTTAAAGTAGACGTCTTCAAACAGTGGACGAACAAACAACTGCTATAAATACCAAAATGGTATAAATATCAAACTGATATAAATTGAAAAGTGGTATAAATCACAAAGTGGTATAAAAAATTAGATACTATAACAAGCTCTTATGCCACTTCAAGAAGATACTTTCATACACTTTTGTATTAAAATCAACCGAATGATTTTTGGATATAATTTGGAAATAATTTTTCCGAAAAGAGGACATAACTTAAAACTGAGATGTGAATTTACGAATCAAATACAGCTAGTATTTACAGCTTTACAGCTACAACGCCATAAAAAGCTACGTAAACAACTTCTAACGTAAGACAGTAGTAAAGCATTGTCGGAAGTAATATAAATACAAATGCTGGTTTCGAAATATGTTTCAATGCTTAAAACCAGGCTGAGATGGCAATAAACAACAATTTACAGTTTCCACATATGATTTTGAAAATCATAAAGCGTGTATCTTTCTCACTTGTCATTGCAAAAAAGTTTTTCCAGCCGTGGCAGCAGCTCTGGAAACTTCGATATACCTAGGTCTCAAGATTTACCGAACTTCAAGGCTTTAAATATCTTTAGTGATTTTCGATTTCTGACAGCAAAACTCACGTACAAAATACACAATTTTCTACTTATAAAGAACACAGCATAAAGAAATAACTTAATATGCTTAAAAGTATGCTTTTAAAATACATAAAAATTGGTTAAAACAGATAGATTTAGTTCAAAAGTATTAACATTCAACTCATATGTACAGAATTGAGCTTGAAAACTAAAGCATAATACATTTTTAAAATAAGTATTTCATTAACGTTACTTTTTAAGTCGTTTAATTGCTCATGGTGCATATATTTAGGCGCTTTTAATAGGCAATTAACTATTTCAATTGAAGTTCCAACAAATTTGAAGTAATATGGAGTTAAATGCCTAGTCTAAGCGTTGGAATATCATCTAGTTAATAGGGTTTACAACTTAAGACTTTTTACTTTGTCAAATAGCTCTACTTGTACTTTCCACTCAAGTGACTTTCATAACAATCAAATTAAAATTACAACACACCCACTTGCTATTTACATTTACTACTGTATTGTGTTACACTACTTAAGGCATACTTACAATAGCACCCACGTGAAAACTCGTTTAAAAAAGGTAAACAAAAAACAAGTGTGAAACGGCATAAAAGGCATAAACATATGGGACAAAATAGATGCCACCTACACTGAAATACATACAGACCACTCACTTATAATAATAATTATAATTTGAAGAAAATATAAACTGACATTTCACGTGAGTCACAGCAGATTGAAAAGCAATGACAGAGAATATTGTGTTGCTTGCAGTTTACTTGTTGAAGCAAAAAATTTAGAAAATAATTAATTTGACGACTTCGCTTACGTAAGACTGTGCAAAGTTATAAAAGGCGAGCAAATGTCGAGTGAAAAATGGTGATATCATTATTAGCGGTTATTAAGAGCAGACATTACAAATAAACTATTTTTAGCACCAAAAATGTGACAAAGAGTTTGAAACGCTGTTATGTAGAGTTTTTAAAATGAGTCTTAATTTTGAATGTGAAACTTGAGCTACAAAAATTTTCTTACGAAAAAAATTACAAAATGTGTGAACAAAAGCTACAATTGAATTTAGAAAACAAATGTCAAAATTTAAAATTCGAAGTGAAAATTTTTGCAATCAAATTCGGTACAACGTTACATTTACAAGATGCTTTCTTATTCGAAAAAATATAACAAAACAAATATTTCGAAAATTAAGATAGAAATTGAGTTTCCTTCTATTGTTTCATATTTAAGAGTGTTTTAAATAGCTAGTTAATAGTAAGAACGCCAAAAAATGGTTATCACTTTCTAATTTAGGAAAAAAAAATTTTGTTTCGAAAAATTAAAAATAACAAAAATTAAATTTTTCGGTTCGTATATGAAACCAGAAAAATTATTAATTTTTACGGCTTTAGTCAAATTATAAAAACAAATTAATACTTCGAAACATGTATGAAAAGTTTTCATATGCATATTAAAAAACGGCATTTTGCGAATTTCGAAGATAACAAATCACTAACCAAAAGTTGTTTTAAAATTCCAAACTTCAAAATAATATCAGCACAAAGTTAAACATCGTAGTATGAAAATTAAAACTTCGCATGAAAAGTTTTTATAAGTTAAATAAAGCTGCAAAACATCGCTTGCGAAATTCGAAGTTAACGAATTGACTAAGTAAAAACTGTTTTTAGTGCACTAAGAAAATATATTTTAAACAGCAAGCTTCAAAATTATAGTCGTATAAATTTTTAGACAAATTAACTGATAGCTTTCGAACATAGCATATAGAAATAAGTTTCTGTAAATACTACAAAAAATTTCAAATATTTTCGGATATAATATTAAAGCTGTTAATTTCGTGTTTTTGTACCACTGATTTATAGCAAAACATGAGGTAAATTGTAACTTCGAATTTTCGAACTGACTTCGAATTGCTACTTAAATAAAAATAAAATGATTTATGTTCAATAAAGCTTTGATTTATGGCTAAATATAGAGTGAATTTTAATTTCGAATTATCGAACTTACTTTGAATTTCTATTTAAATCAAAATAAAATGATTTATGTCCTATACATCATACATCATACAATACAAAACCGTCGATTCAATGGATATTATTGGAAAATACAATTAAAATTGCTACAAATCCATCGTTTTAAGTTATGAGCTAATAATTCCAGTATATTGAAAAGTGATAAATGTTTCTTTCCCGCAATAGTTTTTTAGTGTTTATATTGATATTTCCAGAACTAATTTATATCGAAATGCTATTAGAACAAATTGCACATCAGCCACACAACAACATGCTTCACTCAACACTATGACTCGTTAATTACAAGGAACCCATCAGCTGATTAAAACACTGCTATAATACCGCATGACGTGTGATCGCGCTAAAAAAAAGAATGTAGGCAATGAATAAGAACACAGAACACGAGATAAAAAAAAACTGAATGTATATGAAAAAGATACTAAACAGAGACTGGCCGCACAATGTGGCAACAATCAGCTAAACAAAATGCATAAAATTAGAGGGCAAATAAAAAGGCGAAGCCAACTATTGGCGAAAGTGACCAATTAACATTGAATTGTTTGTGCTTCCCCCAAACGGGAGCAGCTAAGTATTAAGTGGAATATTTTTGCAAACTCTGCCGCACAAGAAAAACCAAACAACTGATAAATATAAAAAGTATTTGAAATAAGGAACAAAGCAGAAACCTTCCACATTTGGCGCAGAGCCAAAAAAAAAACAGTGAGAACCTAATAAAATGTGAAAACAAAGTGCAAACGTTTACTTTGTATGTGTATGTGTGTGTGTTTGTGTAGGTACGTATGTTTTTTTATGCGAAACGGGATAGTCAGTCTTCTAAGTCAATTTAATTTATGGCAGCTAATAACCTACCCACAAACTACCCACAACCCACCCACCACCACAAACTAGCAGCATTAGGCTTCGAGTTCACTCACTCGACAGCGGCTCATTAAGCTAAAAACTAATCTTACGGCCGTAAATAAACAGCTAGATAAATATTGATAGTATTTAAAAGCACACACACGTACATATGTACATATGCGTATATGTATGTATATGCATATATTGCTTTTTGTAGATATGTTTAGCCACTGCATTCCGTGCCTTCTAATGACAACCATCAAATCTTCTTTGCCAATTCTCGTGCCGTATACTGTTACAAAAACAAAAATAAAAGCAAACGAGGAAAAATGAAGATGAAGGTTGATGGACGGACAGGGCTAATGCAAACTAATCACTGCGTTGTATATTATGCCGGTCAGCAGAGCTTGGGAGCCGTGCGCCACATATGTTGTATGCTGCTTGCCCACACACCTGGTGAATGTAAATAAAAGTGTTAGGCAACAACAACCACAACTACTACAACCATTACCACACATAAAAGGTCAACTAATATATCAAAAAATGTCAGGTAGGTAACAGCAGGCGACCACCGGACCATTAGTGCGAGCGGCAGCGTGTTGATAGATTGTGTTTGCGAAATGATTAACTGGAGCACAAGCTGGTGGTGTTTGGTTAGCAAACCGTTTACAAGTGATTTTGTTTTGTCAGCAGCAAGGGGTGGCGCGCATGCTGTTGATAGCGGCGCTGGTTGCGTGTGCGTGGCGGCATGAAAAATAAAGATTTGTGTGTGTGTATATAGGTTGCTATGAACATATAAATTGGCTAATAGACTGAAGAAGCGGCACTGCATCGCTGTAATATTGCGGAAAATGGTGGCAATGTTTACAAAAGCAATATGCTGTCTACACACAAGTGCGCCTAAATAAATAAGCGTGCGTAATATAATGTGGCAGTAAGATGAATTAAGCGCATCTTGCACCTACTCAGTTGTGGCAAGCACGTACAAGTGCTTTTGTGTTCTAATTTAAGGAGAAAATATTTATCTACGACGTTCATTTATATTGTCACTAAATTAAATGTATTTTCTTTTTTACAAGTAAGATTATTAAATGTTAAATAGCTGCAAGCCGAGACCAGTTTTGAGTTACACCTTCGATGCGCCAATTCTCTACTCGCTATTTGCAAGCTATTTTCTCATGAGAGGTCACGAGATTTGTTCCTTATGAGTTCGAGGTAATGGATGCAAGGTAAAAGTGGTATAACTGCCTGCTATTCATTTGTATTTGTATTATACCAGTTTACGTGATTTATACCAGTTGTTTGTTCGATGCGGCATTTGGCGACCTCTTCCACTCCACCAACACGATTAAAGTAATTTCTCTGTTTAATTATACCACGTTTAATTATTTATACCAATTGTTTGTTCGATTTACCACATAAACTGCTGCGCTTCATCCGCATAATAAGTCGGTATTTTGTTTGCATTATACCAGTTTACATGATTTATACCAGTTATCTGCGTTATTCATCATTTGGCACGATTTGGTGTTGGTAGAAGTAGCCGACTATGCGACCTATCCCTCTCCACTAACAATTATTCAATTGCTGATTGAATACACAACTTTTAAAGATTTATACCAATTATTTGTTCTATTTGCCACACATAGTGCTTCAAAAGATCAGCATAAATAAACAAATGCTTCCCACACCAAATAAAATGTTTAATTTTTTTATAGAATATTTTATTAAAAATTGTCTGTGGACCACTTACCTTCATAATTGACCTGACCGTCACCATCGATATCAGCCTCCCGGATCATTTCATCCACTTCTTCGTCTGTTAACTTTTCCCCCAAGTTTGTCATGACGTGACGCAATTCAGCCGCTGAAATGAAGCCATTGCCGTCCTTATCGAATACTCTAAAGGCTTCTCGAATCTCCTCTTCACTATCGGTATCCTTCATTTTACGTGCCATCATTGTCAAGAACTCGGGGAAGTCAATGGTGCCATTGCCTGTTTAAAAGAAACGAACAGAAAATTAGCATATTTTTGGAAGTTTTAAAAGAAAAAAGTAAAAAAAAGGAAAAAATTAAAAAAGAAAAAAATTAAAAAAGAAAATAATTTAAAAAAAAAAATATTTAAAGAAAAAATATTTTAAAAAACACCAGTTTTATAATGTTTATGTTTAATATTAATTATTATATTTCACGTTTTATTTTTTATATTATTTCAATAATTTTATTAGGTTTGATATTTGTTTACCGCTATTAAATTATAAGAATTATTTAATGAATATTTTTTTACTTTTTTAATTGTTTAATTTTTTTTTTACTTTATTATTTATTTACACACATTTACTTAATATTTTTTATTTTAATTTTATTTTGGAGTGTGATTATTTTTATATATTATATTGTATTATTTATATATATTATATTGTATATATGCATATTTTTTATTTTTTTCGTATTATTATTTAATCTTTTTATTTTTATTTTAAATTTTTTTTTCTTTTATTCATTATTACTTTTCATTGATTCGCCTTGATATGCTCCTTATACCGTTAGTTTTGTTAGAATCGCAGAATTCATACTTCATCCACCCCAAATGTGGACAAACAGGAAGAAATATTGTAAAAATTATTTTTCTTAATTTTTTTAATAAATATTTTAATATTGTAGTTCACTTTAAAAATCACTCAAAATATAATAATTACTATTTATTGCCATTTTTTTTTGTAGCATTTTTTATCAAATTTTAGCTCACAAACCAACTGTTTCTTCTGTAGCAGTCATCACTTGTTTATAAATAAACTCAATCGCATTTTTGCTAATGTTAAATTTAGCGCCTCTTCATTTGCAAATTTGCTATTCTAATTTACAAAATAACAACAAAAATGCCGCAATTGAATGCTTGAATGACAGAAAATTAATAGAAACCGTGGGCTGTGTTTTTTTTTGCCGCCGAACAAGGAAGTCTTGTGATCATAGTGGCGGCTTTCCCCAAAAGACATGCGACCTGCCACCACTTGACGACGCCGACTACAACATTTGCACATCAACACCAACAGCAAAAACAACAGCAACAAAGAAACCCGCTCACACTGCGCAAAAATGCAATTCCACCACAGTGGAATTTCGCGCAACAACAACACCGCAAAATGGGTTATTTTATATTTTTTATGCATTTGTGTTGGAAAATAATATTTTCTATTGAAAAAAAAAAAAAAAAAAAATTTAGTAATTCACCCACGCTTTATACAAGCGCAAAATTTTGTTGTCAATTATTGTTAAAATTATTAAAACAATTTGTTGCTCCAATTACCGAAAAATAAAATATTTTGTTGCGAATTTTTTGTCGTTCATTCCACAATTTGCGCGCAAAATAACTAAATTTTTTTCGAGTTAATTTCTATTTGTTTCGGGTCATTGCCCCACTGTGCGGCATAGCAGCATGAAACGCAAATGCTGTGGCTGCAATTGCCAGCGCTGTTTTTGAATTAGCGGAATATATTTAAGTACACAAAATGTGTATATACATAAATATATAATATAGTACATAGATTTACACACACATTTCGCTGGCGTGAGAATTGCAGTTGTTTGAAGTGAGTACGTCGCACAGCTATAAATAACACAAGAATAATGTGTGTTAAAATTAGACAGCAAAACAGCGAATGCCGAATATTTGGATAGAAATGCAAAAAGGAAAAAAATTAAAAAAGCAAAAATGAAGAGAGAAATGGCAAAATTAAAGACTTATAAAAAATAATTAAAATAGAAATCTCGTAAAGCAATATCGGAGAAATAAAAAATATATCAATAAATTGTGATAGATAAGACAATAATAAAATAAATAATAATAATAGTATTAACAAATTCTAAAAATTTTAAAAAAAAAAAGAAAAAAATAATAATAAAGTTAAAAAAAATTATAAAGTTAATAAAAATAAATAAATTTACAAAAATGCGTTGAACAATATTACATTAGAAATGGCTAAAAATTTATATGTGAAATATTACTAAAAAAAAAAAAAAAATTAAGTCAAATAAATGTAACATAATTAAATAAATTAAACTATAACAAAGAATAAACACTTGATTATGCAAAATAATATTTAAAATTTAAAAATATATAAAAAAAACAATAAAAAAAAAATATATATATAAAAATATATATAAAAAATTATATAAAAAAATATAAAAATATATAAAAAAAAATATAAAAATATATAAAAAAAATATAAAAATATATAAAAAAAAATATAAAAACAACAAGTAAAAATATAAATAAGTCAAAGTAAAAATTAAGATAAGGAGCTAATTATAATATATTAAAAAACACCAAATATCTTTTAAAGTATAATTATTTTTAAGTAAATATATAAAAAATAAAAACAATGAACATTATTAATAAAGTAATATAGAAATATAAATTATTAAAAAATCAATATAAAATAATAATTAATTAAAAAATTTTAATTAACGAAACATAAAAATTTATTTAAAACAATAAACCTAATTAAGAAAATAAAATATTTAAGAATACTACAACTTATGTAAAATGTAATTATTTAAAATTAAACTTAAAATTAAAATTAAAATTAAATAATGATATATATTTTTTTAATTACAAAAAAAACTAAAAACTAAAAAAGCAAATAGATTTGTTTTTTATTGACCAAACTGATTTTATTAGAATATTTAAGGTAAATAAATGAAAAATTTTAAAAAATATTATTATTATTATAAGCAAATATAAAAAAAAATTAAAAATATATTTTTTTAAGCAAAAAAAAGAATGCAATTAAAAACGTAAAAAAAACAGACATACAGATTTTATGATGGCATGTTTGTACATTAAAAATAAAGAAAAATCTATATATGTATATTATAAAAAATATACAAAAAACATGTACATGTGTATTTAGTTTTTTTTAGGACCTCTTTACAAATTTACACTACAGCTATATAAAAAAAATACAAAAATGTGTACTAAACATATATGTAGCGGCCACGTAGTAATTGTGCGCCGCTTTCCAAGCTATATTGGTCCAACGACAGCAGCAGTCTAAAGGCCGTCTGTGCAAAATTTTGGCGAACGTCAACTCCCCCAACCGCGCACGCCCACACACATTTCTCTAGTACGGCTACGGCAGCTATGGCTTAGCACGAACAAATGTAGTGTGCAAAAAGGCGCCGCCATTAGCGCCACGACGAGCCTATACATATATATATTTATATGTATATATATCTACAAAATATGTGTGTAAATTAGTGAAAAATCGATTTGCTGTCTGTACAGCATGAAAATATATACAGATCTGTGCATAATTATGGCAAAAATCGAAATTATTGTTGTGGGAAATCCTCATTTACGCCGCCTGTCTGCCGATTTCACAGCTAGCTCTCTCTAGCTTGTGCTATAGCAATTGTTTTATATATTATATAAATAAACATTTATATAGACAAACATAGCTACAATCTATTGCCATTTTCTTTTGAACTTTGTCAATTTATGCAGATGCATACATACTTGTATGTTTTTTATACCCTGAACAGGGTTTACAAAGAAATTTGTAACACCCAGGAGGAAACGTCGGAGATTCTATAAAATACTTATATACATAAATCATCAGCGTGATGAGCTGAGTCGATTTAGACATGTTCGTCTGTCAGACAGACGGCTGTATTTGCGCGAGTTCTAGTCCTTCAGTTTTTGAGATATCGAACTGAAATATTGCACACGTGCTATACTCTCTTAGAAGCTGGTCATTGTCGGTACCGCCGATATGGGACCACTATAGCAAATATGTAGCTGCCATACAAACTGACCGATCAAAATCAAGTCCTTGTATGTAAAACTTTTTTATGTGACAGGATATCTTCACGAAATTTGGCATGGTATATTAATCGAGAGAACGGTACAATCACCGCACAAATTTTTTAAATCAGATCACTATAACATAAAGCTGCTATACAAACTAGTCGACAAAAATCAAGTTTTGTATGGAAGTTTTTTTATTTGTGCAGGGTATTGCCGCATCGGTGCAACCGAAGTTAATCGTTTTTCTTGTTTTTAAATATTTTCGAAATTCTTTTGGCAACAATTGTTGTTACGCGCATACATATGTACATAAAAACAACTGTTTGTAAAGGTGAGCGAATAACTAAACGTGTCTCTATTGCCGTTTATGCGTTTATGTGCACAAAGAATTTGAAGAAATTTAAAAATAAAAAAAAATCAGCAAAGCAAATATTTAACAATTATTATTTTCATACTAAACGTTTTATGAACTGATTTAGAGAGCAATGTGCAAACAAACTGCAGCTAAATACATATTCACATATATATTTACAACAAGTTCATATGTATATAGCACTAGCTTGGCATATACATACAAACATACATATATACGTAAGTATATAGAGTGCAATGTGCCTGTATCTATTCTAGTTTTCCAAATGCGCTGCACATCGGTCACTCACTCTCCCGCAACGCTCATTTACAGGTGTCTGTGCGCACATTTTAGCCGGCTTTTATTGAATTTGAGGCAATGATTTGCCATTACCAATAACATATGGTGGCACTTTGCTACATACATATTTACAGATTATAAATATACGTACACACATTTGTTACATATGTACATGTATTTGTGGGATTTGTGTAATTATTTTTCGCCGAAACAGAGCACAACACATTAACGAACGTCTCAGCGCCTTTAATGCCAGCGAACATGTCTACAGTCACTCCCCCCCATACACGGCGGCTAGAGGCTCCCATACTCCAGTGTTGTTCTGTTTATTATGTATTTTCTTTATTCTATTCAACGCTGTTGGGCAAATGTTTATTTCGTTTTGAGCGAAAAAAAAGTAAGCAAAAGTAGCAAGCGCGGCAGCAGCCATAAAGAAGTGAATAGCACAGCAGGCAGGTAGCGGCATGAGGTCATGGCCAATTTGATAGCCACCCACAGGGCGTGTAATAACGGGTCGCGCGCTGTGACTAAAATA